ACTTTCAATTCAACAACAGGAGCAAAAGTTTTAAGATAATAAATCCTATATATCCCAAGATTATCATCTGGCACTACTTTGGCTTTATACCTTTCTAATGAGCCATTGAATTTGTACTTTACAATAAAGACCTATCTACAATCTACTTGTCTCTTTCATTTTGGTAGTGCCATCAATTCTCATATTTTATTCTTTTGAAGGGCTTCCATTTCCTTTCTAGTAGTATTATACCAATTCTCATTTTTAAAGCCTTAAAGATGATTTTAGAGAGAAAAAGTATGAAAGCTTATAAGAAAGGATTGATGATAATGAATATGATTTTTTTACAATAAGAACAATTGTAATTTGTAAGAAATGTTTAGTTGAAGTGCCACTGTTTGTAGGCTCAATGGTTCCATCAACAAGTTCAGTACTAGGGATTGATTCAAAAGTTAATTGCACTTGGATCGATTAAGATACATTTCACCTTGAGTAAACTTATAATAGCTGAGTAGAAAGTTATTCTAGTGTAAGCATAATCTATATAGAAGTGGCTATTTCTAGAGTATAGTTGTTTGTTGACGTGAGAGACAAGTAAGAACAGTCAAAAAGAAAAAAAAATCATTTTTGAATGATATTTCTTCTTGGTTGAAGTACTAGTAAAATATAAACCATCTACATTAAAAATAACATCAGCAGACACACTTTCCGTGAGGGGATGGTAGCATTTCTACCATTTTTTAGTTGAAAAGTCATCAGTAAAAATATATATAATTACTCTTAGATCTTTTTTTTTTCTATTTTGAGGTTGTATATGAACAAAAACATCACTTCCAAGTACCGTGAGAATAATATTATTTAAGGTGTTGAAGTGAAGAAAAAATTTGACTAGAACTTGAGCAGATGTCCTGAACCCAAGGATTCTTATGGGTAATCCATTATAATGTGAGTGGTGGTTAAGATAGCTTCCCCAAATAGTATTTTGGAGCATTCTTCTAAAGCTTTTATGAAAGCAAGTACATGATTGTTCTTTTGTTCAACAATCCCATTTTATTGATAAGTGTAAACACGAGAGGGATTATTTATTATTCTTTTTTTCTTTGAGATATGAGGAGAGAGAATATTTAAATAAATCTTTGGAATTTCAGATCTTACTCTTTTAATTTCAACATCAAATTGGTTATTGATCATGTTGAAAAAGGTGAAGAAAATTATACTTACATCACTTTCAGCTTTTAGCAGAAAAATACATGATAAATGTGTGCAATCATTAATAAAGAACACAAACCATCAAGCCACATATATGCTAAATATAGAGAATGGCCCACATATATCACTATCAATGAGAGAAAAAAGACTTTCAGTTCTTATGTTAATAATTGAAAATTTATTATGCTTATGTTTTGCTAACTCATAAGTAGTATAATGAAATTCTTCATCAATAATTTTTTTAATAATAAATAAATGAAACATATTTTTGAGAAAAATAAAGGAATAATGATCAAGATGTAGGTGTTGGAGACATATCCTTTCATCATATGATTTAAAAGTTTTAAAAAGAAAAGAAAATATTACAGGTAGTTTGGAGCTTCATTGGTCATTAGATTCCCGAGGCGGTAGAAATTATCTCTTTCTTTAGCAAGTTTAATCATCCTCCTTATATATGGTTCCTGAAATACACAATATAAGGGTAAAATATAACATTGCATTTGGAATTTCAGCCTAACTTTTGAATAAATAATAAATTGGAGAATGATTTAGGTAATTGAAAAATATTTTTAAGTGTGAGGAATTTATTTATAAAAATAACTTCTTGGCCAACAATGGTTGTTAAAGATCCATCAGTACTGATTATTTTTTTATTGTTGGCACAAGTATAAGAAATAAATGTGTGATGAGTTGATCATATGGTCCATAGCTCCTAAATCAATAATCTAGGATCTATAATTGGGTATCTCTAAGACTTTAAAAACATGAGAATATGAGGTAATAAAAAAACAATTCAAAGTGTGAGGAATTTATTTATAAAAATAACTTATTGGCCAGCAACGGTTGTTAAAGATCCAGTAGTAATGATTATTTTCTTATTGATGGCACAAGTATAAGAAATAAATGTGTGAAGAGTTGATCATATGGTATGTAGATCCTTAATCAATAATCTAGGATCTAGAATTGGGTATCTCTAAGAATTTAAAAGCATGATAATAGGGGATAATATTTGAGGATATAAGAGAAGAAATGCCTATGATAGGAGTCTTTTTTTTGTGATGCCTACAAATTTTTTAACTTTTTCATTTCTTCTTTTTGGAACTCAATGGAAGATTCTTTTGTGTTATAAAATTCCATACATATGTATGTCTCTATTCTTTTGTAGCTTATCGACAAAATAACTTTTGCTTAGTAGCTTGTCATGAAGCTTCCAATGTATTTCTTTTGTATGTCAACCCTTCTTGGAATAAGTGTGCCATAAGAAATCATTATTAATCATAATTATTGAGTGTGGCTGCTTATGCTCCTCAAATAAAAAAGTTTTTAATCGAGGTGTTCGATGTCAATTGTCTTCATCGTTAGGTCAAACCTCCTATCGGATTATTGGCAATTATTACTCCCCTTCTCCCTTCTTCCATTTGAATGATACCAATACCTACATTTATGGAAGGTAAATCCTCTTTGCCAAAACTTTGTACCTTTATGGCATCAAACTCAACATTTAATTAAGTAAAGAAATTATAAATTTGATTTTTTTCAACGAATCTTCTAAGGAGGGTTGCATGTTTCCTGCATTCCATTTGGATACATTGACTATGACTAATCTCTTGCCAAAGGCCTTATAGAAGATTAGAACATTTTGTGATGAATCATCATTCTTGTTTTTTGGTTGAGAACTTGAGATCATGATTTTGATATCATAGATTTCGACCAAATCACAACTTTATAATGCATTTAATTTGTCATATCCCATATGTCCTTTGTTGAATGAACATGCAGATATCAGTTATTTTAGGAACTATGGAGTTCCATAATCAGGACGTCACCATTATGTCCTATCTATGAAGCATGGACACTTCCAAAATACCTTTTATGTCAATGACGAACCTGGACATAGCTCCGACAAGCCCCAACATGTGTCTGACACTTCAAAAATTGTATTGAAGATTTTCTAGTGTGGAATTGAACACCGATATCCATCGAACACAACTTTTTAGTTCGTTTCGAAAGAAGCATGCATATAATTGTCTAAAGCTTATGATTTATATATTTTTGAAAATTATTATACAAAGTAAGTAAATGTTTGTACAAGTATGGATATGTGAAAGAAAGAAGACGTACATGTAATAAGAAAAGTATATATGAATGAAAGAATGCAAATAAATAAATGTTAAGGAAATGATACAAACATAAATGAATCAAAGGGAAAGGGAAAATGTTACGCATGCAAAACTTACAGAAGTTCACCCCCGTATGGTACTGACTGGGGAAGCAACATACTCGTGCACATAAAATAAGGAAAAGGTTATGAAAATGGAAAATGAAATGGAAATGGTTGTACCTTTGGTACATTTAAACAGTGCTCTTGTACAATATGAAATAGGAAAAATGAATAATTGTTAAAGTAAATGTTATAAATGAACATGCTATGGTATGTAAAAGGTAAATAAAAGAATACGATATAATATGTATATGAAATGAAATGAAATAAGAAATGAAATATAACTCTGATGTTAAATTAATGAACATATATCAAAAGTTTTATGTATTATATTTTATGCTTATAAATTAATTTTTTCAGTTACCCACTGAGTTTACTTAGTAAACTCAAACCATGAATCTAAATATTTCAGGTAAATCTTCAAAGATTTAGAAATGGCAGAAAGAGAAGAGTTTGTCTACAAAAGACGACGTGCAAATGACAACAGGTAATTTTAAATTGGGTTTTAGTGGCTCTTCAATACTAATAAGAAAGTAGTGTAATGTTTAATGAATTTTACCGTCCAAATTTTAGTTCCCGCCTCATTAAATCGAACATCTGGGCCGGGTTGTGACAATTTTAACCAATTAAGATAATCATTTCATTCAAACAATGTGTTGAATCATAGTTTTATAATTCTCCCGTTGGATTTAGATTGCTGGTATCAGATCCAAATGAACATAAGTCCAAAGGAACATGGCCATTTTTGTGATCCATAAGAAGAAAAAAAATGAAGTAGTAATCGTTTAAGAGAAAAAAAAAATGATAGAGATAAGGTTGCATTGATGAAGGCAATAAATATAAAGATTATGTCGAAGAAAAAAGAGCTGTTCAATGAAGAGTATAAATCCTTTCAGCATAATATTTAATCTTATTTTGATATCTTAGAAGCATCTATTGTTGAATAATCACCTCTCTTTATAATATTTTTAAAGATCGTGATTTTCATGAATAGCTCGTATGTCATTAATTAACTTCTAGGATCATGTCATACATGTTATATTTGCTGCAAGACAACACGCAACAATTATGGATAAATGCTGCCGAAATTGTCTATTATTTTACAACTCACAACACCCTATCATAGGACTTAAGCCAAAAGTAAATCCAAAGTTTTTTTTTTAAACACCAAAGAACCTCACTAGCTTATATCAAATTACTTTTTCAACCAACTAAACTGCTTAACACAGCTTGCAGTTTAAATTTTGTTAGCTAGTCCACTTAACTTACATGTATAAACTGACAAACAAACCCACAAACTTCGGAGGCAACAGAAACTTTCAACATAAATGCCATTTGGAGTACAGTGAAAAACTTTTACCAATCTATATTGTTTCCATGCCTAAAACCCAAAAGCTTCTGTTTCTTTGCCATCTATATTATCGTTGAATTAGCAGCACTTCCGACGGAAAAGAAATGAACTTTCAGCCAAAACAAATCATAAACAAAATGGAAAACGCAAGTTGAAATGAAAAAAAATACTGAAGCTGAATTCAAACACGCTCTTGATATCCAAAATAACAAAACAAGGCAACAGGAGAAGGAAACCAACCTGTGTAAGGGGATAAGGACGATTGCTTTAACCAGTAACCCTCCGCCACTGCATAACAAAACAATTAATCTACAAGATCTAACAGCAAACCATCGTATAGGGTTTAAGAAAAAGGGGATTTGGCTCACGGCGGCGGAGGCTGGTAAGAGGAGTAGCGACCTCAGGCCGAGATCCGAGGTTGAGATTATCCGCAAAGGGGACAAGGAGGAGCCGGAAGGCAAGCGCCGCCCAGACCAGCGGCCAATACCACCGCGTCCCGGCCATGTCAGAGTGATCGAACCTCGAGCCCGTGAAAAAAACCTGAGTCAGTGGGTAGTCAAACCCGATAAGCCTCACAAATGGGAGCAATTATTAGGTACTTTCACTGGATGTAGAGAAAGGTTCGGTTTTAGTCAAAATAGGTAAATAGTGCAAATACCAAGTTTTTTGAAAACTCAGTATTTTTTCAAAAAACTCGGTATTTGCACTTTTTGGACAAGGAGGAGCCGGAAGGCAAGCGCCGCCCAGACCAGCGGCCAATACCACCGCGTCCCGGCCATGTCAGAGTGATCGAACCTCGAGCCCGTGAAAAAACCTGAGTCAGTGGGTAGTCAAGCCCGATAAGCCTCACAAATGGACCTTCTTTGTCTAACGAGCTATAAGCCTATTACAGTCAACGAGTCGATTGGTTTAGGAATCAGATTTTAAAATACTATATTTAAATTTAATAATCAGAACAGTAAGAATAATTAAGAAATAATAAATCATTTAATAAAAATATATGCTTAAAAATTAATTTTAAAATGTCGAAAGTCGAGTATAAATGTCATGTCAATCATACAAAGGGGAGACGATAATTTTGTTCAGAGTTGGGAATTGATGTTGTGCAATAGGCATCAGACATCGATGGCGAAACAATATCGGCCCTGATGACTTAATGTCGAGACAACGTCAATTGTCGACGTTAAGAATACATTGGACAAAAATGAGATGTCAACATTGCGCGAGGTGTGATTGTGAATATGGAAATTGATAACATTGAACGTCAATGTTAAGACAACGTCATACTTCAACGTTAAGATGATTTTAAAACATTAATTTTGCAATGGCGTCAGGGAGATGGTTTCTTGCATTATTATGAAAATCTTAGTCCAAACCTATCATATAGAAATGAAAATGGGCATGTTCGGGAATGAAATGTTGAATACATATGATTAATTTAAGGCTATGAAGAAAAAATAAGAATTTTTTTTTTTAATAAAATAAACAAAAATGTGAAGTTCAAAAAATAATATTAAAAAATATATAACATATTTAATATTTATATTTATTCATTAAAAAAATAATATTTACAATTTGTTCATTACTTCTCTAAAGATCTAACAATTTAATGTCAAGAATATATTGCAAAAGAAAATAACAAAAAACCATTAGAGTGATCTAAAAGATCACTCAAACAACCCTCCAAATTTTCTCAAATAACAATTTTGTCTTGAAAAGAATTTTGAGAGTGATTTTGAAAAATATTTTATACTGCTTCGACAGCTAAAAATGGAAGTATTTGTTGACTTATCTGATATAAAATAATATCACATAAAAATATATTTTAAATTAAATTTATAGTTAAATAAACAAAATAACCGTTTCAAATAATATAATAAATTGTATATATATATATATATATATATAAGAAGCACATGCCAGCAAAGATGATACAAAAGGTGTTAAATACTTTATGAAGATTATGATCTAAAGCAATAATAATAATATTGTTGCGTCTTGGAATATTCGCATCGGTAGATATATAAATTTTATCATCTTAGCTTCGTATGAAGATCTAGCACGCATTTATGAGAGACACAAATATGTTTACGTGAAAAACCCTAAAAAGGGGAAAACCCACGAGGTCTACCCTAGTTTGAATGAATCCACTAGTATTTTGCAGTTGATTACAAATGAGTCCCTTCATTGAGGGGGAATCACAATTGATGTGTTCGTTTGGTCTGAATGATTGTAGTATGCGAGCGGCAGAGGTCGGAATGACTATTGTTATACATCATACAGAGTGTGTTACATGGTGGAAACATGAAGAATCACTATTGACGTGTTCGTTTGGTCGGAAGGAATGTTGTCTAACAACAGAGGTCAGAATGATCATAGTTAGTGGGAAACAGAGGTCGGAAGGATTGTAGTTAGTGGGCGACGGAGGTCGAAAGGACTGTTGTCAGGTGAAGGAGATCAGAAGGATCGTTGACTGACAGAAGTTCGGTGTTTGGTAGAAATTTGATGACGGGTAGAAGTCCGGCATCGGGTAGAAGTCCGACGACATGTAAAGTTTGTCGTCAGGAAGAAATTTAATGAAAGTTCATCGACAGGCAGAAAGTTGGCATCGGGTATAAGTTAGATAAAAGTCTGATGTTGGGTAGAAATCTGGTGTCGATTAGGAGTCCTGCGACGGATAGAAGTCTGACGATAAACATAAATATGATGACGTGTGAAAGTTCTACATCGGGTAGGAGTCCGACGATAGGCAGAAGTTCGGCGTCAGGTATACGTCCGACGAAATTCCGGTGAGGGGCGGAATTCTGTGTCGAGTCGCTAGTATAAGCATATCACGTTTTGATATTGGGCTCTAATGATATCAGAATTTGATGATATTGAGCTCATTGGATTCACCTTGTCGAGTCGCTGGCTTTTGTTATAAGCATATCACATTTGGAAACCATCTGGTAATCCAAATTATAGTTTGAACCCTCCAAATGCATTTTGGGTCTTTGATTTGAACTATTTATGCTCGAATTGAGTTGAATTTGGTGTCGTTGGGTTTGTATTTCTGAGACATTTAGTTCAAGTATAAGTTTGTTGAAATGACAATTCAAATGGTCTCCGATTTAAATTTTGAAGTTTCTAACTTTATTTTTCCTCGAGATTAGTGTCCAAGCAAGATTATTTTTTATGATATATCATTTGCCCCATATTTTTAGACGTCAAAACTCTAGAAGTCCCAAAATATGTGTCACAGCTTTTCCAATTACTCGAATGGTGAAATTTTGAACTCAAAAAAATTTAAAATTGCTCAAATTTGATCATACAAGCTTTGATGAGCTCTGAAAGTGTTAAAATTAAGTCTGGAACAAAGAAAATGGTTATGGGGACCCGAAAAACGTCCAATTTTAATTGTCCGAGCAAAAAATCAAGGCCCGAACATGTTTAAACAGCTGAACCGGCCGACCAGCTTGCCGGCAAATGCGACACGCTCAGCCGATGTGGAACTTAACAATTTAACAACAATAATGATGATGAAATTCTAATTATCACATCAAAATATTAAACTCATATTTTCACAAAGTAGTTATCACATAAATTAAGTATGAAAAATAAATGTTGAAAATGAAAAAGCACATCATAAATTTTATAGTTGTTCGGTCAACAAGACGGAGAAGCCTTTATAGACTCACTTTCAGCAAACTTGGTGCGACGGAGTACCAGTATCTATATCTCCTCCTCCGATGATGGCAGCAGACCTTGAATCATTTTTCTCCCTCTTTGAGACGGTAGAGAACCCCGAATACTTTTTATCCCTCATGGATATGGCAGAGAGCCGTAATCCTTTCAGAGGCATAAAACCTTGAATCATTTTTCTACCTCATAGAGAAGGCTGAGTATTTCGAGGGCTTGTATCTCCAAAGAGAGCCTTCAAGAACTCACCAAGGCTACAGGAGGAACACGTGTGTAGCTAGTCCAGACCTACCATGTGATATCCTCACACTCCTCTCTCACGCTCAACTTCACCTTCTCCTTTCTCTCAAACCCTAGATATATCTCAATAGCTTATCTCTTAAAGTTCCTTCAGTAGTCACACAATCCTCTTTTTTTAAGAGATACTAAAACATTGCTTAAGTATTAGACTTACAAAAATCCTAAAAATTTAAGTTGGTCGTCACTGTTCGTACAACACGATTGGAATTCATACAGTATGACCAGTTAAAAAACTAGGTCCATACAAGACGATATAAACAGGTATTCAGACGAATTGTTTAACTTTTCAAACACATCGTACAATATGATCATAAGATTTTCTTCGACGATATGTTTGCTTTCTCTCTATTCGTACATGACGATTCCTAGAACAATTTCAAATTGTCTATGTCAATCATCCCGTACTGCTATCATCATACAATACAATTAATTGATTTCAAGTCGGTAGTCCAATACTATATGAATATTGTACAGTACGATTAGTTCAAAAATCATGATTTTGTTTGGTACGATATTAGGATGACCAAATTTTGGCTCTGTCAATCTTGCAGTACAATCAGGATCATACAGTACGATCTGGTATCATTAATTAAACTATGATTTGATTAACTAATTATGGGGGTTAATTTAAGTAAGATTTCAAATTTTCGTAAAGTATGATTAGTTCAAAAATCCAAATTTTAATATCTTACTTAATTTATCTGCAGCTAAAGTTTTCAGCTCGTAAATGCTTAATACAATATTTAATTATACAATAAAGATCGTACAATATGATATGCTATCATCAATTAACTCGTGATTTGATTAACTAATTACGTTGGTTAATTTAAGTAAGATTTTAAATTTTCGTACATTACAAATTAGATCGTACAGTATGATTTGTTCAAAAATAAAAAATTGAATATCTTACTTAATTTATCCGACGTCTAAGATTTTTAGATCATAAATACTTAATACAATATTTAATTATACTGAGTCTAAAAATTTTCCCGTTATTTATTACATAAAGAATAAATTATTTACATTTCATTCCTTTTCAAACTTCATAATATAGCTGGAGCCTGTAGCCTGGAGCCTGGAACCTGGAGCTAGGCATTTTTTCACGTACGTGATTGAAAGAGTCGCTGAAGCTAGCCAACAATAATGGCTTAATTAAATACTAATTAGTTTTTGTGCCTTTGGGCATTGCAAATGTCACGTTGAAATTAAAGACAGTGGAAATGACAAAAAATATATATTTCTATTTTTTTATGGAGTTTGATTTGTAGCAATTTTAAGGATCTGATCAAAAATCACAGATATTGAAGTTTTAAGTTGGTTTCTTTGAATGATCGCTCGTCTTCTCTCTCTATTTGGCAAAAGAAGCGAATAAAATTCTTATTTAATTAGTCTTTCATTAAAATATTATAAGATGTAATTTTGGAGGTATTAATTTATGTAATATTGTTAATCAAATATATTTTAGTGTTATGATAGGAAAAATGCATGTGCATTGGGATCGATCCATAAAGTGTATCATTTTGGAGAAATAATTTCATGCGGAGTCTGGATGGGAAGTTTCCGTCCGGACGATGAG